CGAATTCGAGTCATGGTAGTGGGAGCGGGGAGGAAACATTTAGGAACTAGAGGAAAGTTGTATTTCTCATCATCGCTACATCGCACCCTGACTGGCTCATCTCCTCCCCGAGACCCCTCTGCAAGGGGATCTCCAGATGGGATTTCTATACCCAGTTGTTTTAAGTATTTTCATATCGTTTTCCACAGTGGCCGCACATGTTTACAAACCCACCACCAGTGTATAAGAATTCTAATTTCTCCACATCCTCTTCGGTATTTGTTATTCTCTGTTGTTTTGTTTTTTAAATTGGGCTATTACTATGGGTGTAAGGCAATGTTTCGTGGTTTTGATTTGCATCTCCTGCATTTGCATCCCCTTACAATAATCGTGAGCATTTTTTCATGTGTTTGTTAGCCATTTGACGGGGGGAGCAAGTCTTAGAAGTTTTAGGTGAGCTTCCACACTGAGGCAGAGTAGGAAGAAAGGTCTGGTGATTCACTTCTGAAAACGAACATGAATGTCTTAGTGATCCCAACAGAACATTGTCTGGCTCAGTTGCGTGGATGTGTTGTTGGGGAAGGCCAGCTCCTGGAGGGAGACACTGTGTTTGGCAAAGAAGACAAGCAAAGGGGGGAGAGAGACGCTCGGTGCAAAGGCGCAATGATGTATCCACCATGGCACAAATAAATAGATAATATGTAATAGAATAGTAAAGGGTTCCTGTGGGGTAGGGTAGAGGGAGGGAGGGAATAAAGGGGGGCTGATATCAAAGAGTTCAAGAAGAAAGACAATATTGCGAAACTGATGGTGGTAGCAATTGTACAATTATATTTGAGCTAATTGAATTAAGGATTGTTATATGTAAGGGCCCCCAGTAAAATCATTAATAAAAATAAATTTTTAGATCCTGGCATTTCCATGAAATCTGTTCGTGCTTATTCCTATCTCAAGGGGACATAATCCAGTTACTCAAACCCAAACCACGTGTCTGTTATGAATGAGTAAATACACGGAGTTTCAAAGAGTGGGAAATGTCCATTAACTTTTACTTCCATGTTTTCCAAGCCCACTCATATAACCGACTGCATATCACTACTATTTACTCTTATTTTTAATTGTGTTTTCTAATTACAGCATATTACATATTTAATGAATTTGTTCTCTTGTTATACACATTCTCTTCTGCATTACATATGTAATATGGTAGTTAATCCTCTTACTGTATTATTCCTTTGTTAGAGAACATAGCAAAACTCTTAGGCAAAGTTTCTCATTTCTAGTTAAACCCAAACCAACTACCAAGGAGAAGAATGCAATGCAATCTCAATGTATTGAAATCCATAGCCAGAAAATGATTCCCCGGATTTATCTAAACTTTTATTTAAATGGCAGTACACAAGCCTGACAGAATGCATTTTCTGATGTGTTCTAATGGTAAGATAGCAATACAATTTAAAGTATTTCACTCCATTATCAAGTGTGATTAAAACTATGCTACATCTTTAAGATAACTAGACCTAAAAGCGAGCCATGGATGAAACAGTTGCATGCTATCCTAAAATCGTATCAAAGTGCTCTTACCAAATATTACATTTTAAGACCTCAAATTCTGTTGTATTTTATGATACTTTGTAAAGCACTTTTGTCAGTTTTCCTTCATTTTCCTGGCCTTGCTATTGCTAAAGGCCATGGTATATGCTGGTGGTGTATTTAGGGCTATGAGATCAAGCCAATATCCAGGATCTCAGCTTTATCACAATGAGGGTCAAGGTAGCACCTAGAGATTGTTGTCAGTTTTCTAAGGACCTGGATAATGAAATAAACCAACTAAAAGTAGGCCTAGAATCAGTATTTTATTCCCAGACATTCACAATTGAGGTGGCTGTATAGACAGATTTTCACAGAAAAGTACAAACATTAAAATGAGCCATAAGCCCCATCTATGGCAATCATACGCTATCTCCTCCCTTAGGATGGACGCATTAAAAGATCACTGGTAAGATACAATCTTTTTTGCAAAGCATTTTAACATTTTGCTTTTGGGAGTCAGCATACACTGAAAGAGATTTTCTAGACCTGCTTTGAAATCGAAGACTCTTCCCAATCCATGAATGCTCCGCCCGGCCCCCACCCCCACCCCGGCAACAATTTAATAACAATCACAAACTTATTACATAGAGGACTCAAGTGAGAGGGTATTAGGTCTTGCACAACAGAGCCCGTCTTCTCAAAGAGGTGAACTACCACGTACACACAGCTGATTCGCTTTCACAGTGGGAATGACAGACCCGCATTCTCTTGCCAACCGAGAAATCAGCAGCTTGTCGACCGGCAGCAGTCTCACCTCCTAGCTGCTGTGCCTCACGTGTCCACGGCACGCAAAAGAGCAGACATGAAACATAATCGGAAACTGGGTGACTCCAAAGCTGTCGCAGGATCGAATGATGCGAAAGCCTTCGCCGAACATGGGCCCCCGGCACCAGTCACACGAGGACGTGCTGCAAGGAGGGAGACATGGGGTCAGTGGGAGTGGCCCTCTTCAGGAGGAGCCTCTCAATGGCTTGTCCTCGTCCTGAATTTCAGCCCGAGGCTTGTTTCCCAAACCTCAAGTTAATACACATGGAAGCTTGACTTAAGGGCTTGATGTAGAACATGCACCTTTCTTTCACAAAGTAGTCATTTATTTACTAATTTAGCGTATTCCTTTTTTGTTCATTGTGAATACTTATGGACATACAGTGAACCCTCGTTGATCGCGGTTCATCGGTTCTAGACCCTACCGTGATAAATGAAATTCCGCGAAGTAGGATTCCTTATTTGTAAATCAAATATTTTCGTAGTTAGAGCATAGAGGACATGAAAAAACACCCTTTAGTCACCATGACACTCGTATTACCCAATTTATTAAACGAAAAAGGGAAAATACAGTCAAACATTTTGGACGTTACAATGATCATTTATTATTTATTATATTATTTATGGCATCAAGCGTGTACAGTATGAGCCAATCAGTGGCAGTCATGACAGAGCATGCGCTGTTACGCAAAAACCGCGCTAGAGTGAAGCCGCGGAAGTCGAAGCGCGAAGTGGTGAGGGTTCACTGTACTAATATTGGATAGGGTTAAAACTGAACACTGTAAGTTATCGGATTATTAACACCTGCTTTATAGTTTCTGTGCTTAAGTACAACATGACAGATGTAGTTAATGCCACTTGTCTTTCCCTGAGCTCATTCACTTCCTTCCCAGAAGTGACCCATCTGCTGAAGAAGATAGCTGACATTCTCTACCTGCTTCATACTTCTAACGTACTGCACTTTTATGTAAGTATCGCACGGTATCAGGAGCTCTGGTGGCAGAGTGGTTAAATGTTGGGCCGCGAACTGCAAGATCAGCAGTTTGAAAACCCCAGCTGCTTTGAGGAAAAAAGACAAGGTTTTCTACTTCTATTCGCAGGTACAGTTTGGGAAACTCACAGCAGAGTCCTACCCTGTGCTTATTGGGCCCCTGTGGGTTGGCATAGACTCAACGGCATTGAGTTTTTCTTTTAATTACACTGTCTGTCCTTCAGCACCTTGCAGTTTCTGCTCAAGATTTTTTTAAAAAGTGTCTATAATGATTTATATATTCACCTTAACTACTATCTTTCTTAGAATGACTATTTCATAATCTATTTATCCATCACGGACTCTGGGCTGGTTTCTGATGCATTGAGGTGGTACAATTCAGGTAGAGGGACAGAGAGAGGTAGACAGCAATGAGAAATTACAAAGGGCGAGAAGGAAGCGCACATCTGCTAGTGACACAGCTAGCGACATTGGGGTGACCAGAGACACAGTTTGGGGTGGTCTTAGGGCGGTCTTTGTGCAGAGCTCACGGCTGAGTTGCAATGCACAAAACTCAGCAAAAGTAACAGAAGATAAACTGGAGCTTCAGGAGCAAGGACAAAGGTAGACAGGAGAGGTGAGGGTGGGGTTGGGCAGCAAATCCTCCTTTGGTGTTCCTATTTTTACTGGTATACCACACATACTCTTGACCCTCCCGATGGAAGCCATGGTCATTTTTATTCCTTGTGCTGTCATTTACGCCACATGGGTGGGCAGATGATAAGTGCATTAACCTCCCTCGTTTGTCTGGCACGATCTTCTATGTATTTACTCTCATGACTACTTATTACCGAGGGTCAATCTCTCCTTAACCAGTGTGGTTTGACTGATCTCTACGCAGCCTTTCCCTCCTCTGGAGCATGCTGGTCACCGGTGCCGGGTGCGCTTGTGCGGCACTCAATGATTCCCGCGGCCGGAGGAAGAAACCAGCGGATCTGGGCTCTGCCTTCAAAGGTCTCTATCAGCTACACCTGACTTGCTTGATCCTTTCTGGTCCCCTTCCAGGAGGCTTTGCTCTTGCTGAAGTCAAGCCTTTTTCTTGTCTGTGCATGCTTTCATTTTTCTCAACTTCTGTTCATTTTCTTCTTCTGTTCTTTCTTGTGTTGTTCTCACTTTGGGGCATATTTCAAAATATATCAGTATTACCCATCTCAAAAATCTCATCTCTGAGTCTTTTCCTAGCGGTAGTTGGAATCACTTCCTTCTTTTTTTTTTTTTAAATCAATTTATTGGGGCTCATACAATTCATCAC